AAATACCAGAATTATCCTTCCAAACACACATGTGAGGATTCATAACAGAGAAGCACTAACAGCACGAAGATACATGTGTTTCTAGAAGAAGGAGCAAGAACGTGAGATATTTCTTCCAATATTTTTGGTAAAATTTTACACCTTTCCCAGTGAATGCTGTAAAAACTATTGCTTCTCTGGTAATGGTTCAGCTCTGGCTAAACATCAGTGCAGTAGATGCAGGATTACACCCACAGGCTGCAGTTTAGGGTATTTAAAACCTAAGATGGTTTGGTCTCATTTTAGTTACTACTATTTGCCTTATTAAATTTACCAGAAAAGATTTAAATCATAACATGTTGAATTTCACAGTTCCACATCAGCTGCAGATATTTACACATTTTTCTACGTTTGAGTTAGAGATTTTTTTTTGTTTGTTTGAGAAAGTGAAGGGAGATGACAGCTTACTGAATTTAGTCTCACCCGAACAGGGGCTAAATATAGACAAATATCTAAATTACAGGTTCAAACCTAGACATAATGTAGGTATGAAAAAAGTCATGCATGCTGAAATATGAAGCTATGATTCAGGGCTGTTTCTGTTTCTCAGGGATGGCAAATGTCTAAGGATCTTTTAAATCAGCTGTATTTCTATGACATGATTTACAATACTACTTAATCATAGCTGCTTCAGTGACATTTACCATCAACACAAGGACTCCAGGATGATCCCAACACAACTGTAAAGGTAAACTCTTAGAACTTAATGAAATAACAAACACCAGTACAAGTCCAGGGAGACAAAGCAACCTGAAAACAAAATGTAGATTGCAACACAATTAAATAAGCCAACCAATTAAACACAAAAACAAATTACAAAGCACACAGCACAGCGAGCACAATTCAGCTTAGCAGAGTATAGTCAGAGCAGAGAGATTCTTGGCCACCAATGGAAGTATCTGAAAGGAAATAAGATTTTTGGCTTGCCAGAACTAAGCTGCACAATGGCCTGTGTCCTGCATGTATTTGTATGCATGTCCACTTCCTTGCTGCACTGGGAACCTTTTGAAATATTCTACTTAATGGAACACCATTGAAACAGAAAATATTTGTGCAAATAGACGTGTTTGTGCTGCACATATATAAGAAGAGAAGAAAGATAAAACAAGTGAAGTAACTGATAATACAGCAGCCTTCAAAAGCAGCTGTGAGAGATCAAATGAATGTACCCAGTTTTCAATAAGTATGAAAATATTACATAATACTGTTGAAGAAAAATCCATTAATAATATTTTACTGTGTTTCCATGTGCTTTCCATCTTGGACATAAGTAAACTTTCTTATCATATTAAGCCAGTAAAATTTGGTTCCAGTTCAGCTACAGGACTGCCCATGGCTCTGTCTTTGGTCTCTAAATTTCTACATGTTGGGTAGTGAAAGATAAAGATGCCTGAGTGTTCACTGAAATCAGAGATTCTTTACATGTCCATTTTTTACCTATCATATTTCGTCCATCAGTGGCATCTTGTCCTACAGAATAAGTCTGCCTTCTTAGCTGCACCACTATACTACAAGCTCTTTGGGACATAATTTCAAGTTCATAGGCTGCAACTTAAATTTAGAAACGTAGGAAAGGGCAGTGCAATCCACATGCACGAGTTTGGCATTCTAATACAGAAAACAAATGCTAATTAAGTTGCTACACTAGATGTAAGTATCAGGTATATTTAACAACATTAAATAAATATCTTTTAAAAAATCAAAGCATTTTTGCTGCCCTGTAGAGGCACAATTATAACAAAAAGAAGGAAGGGCATGCCTCTAAACAATAGGAGCATCCCCACTTGAACTGATTCAGGACTAGCTCTTTTGTAGATAAATTCTTTATAACCTAAGCTCAAAGCTGGAATCAACAGAAGCCAAAAAAACTTTAAGAACAATGAGAAGTTAATATTTTGCATGTTGAAAGCTATATTTATAAAGCCTGCCTTCTCAAATAGTCTCAAAGCTAAAAACAGCTCCTGGCTCCTATTTCAACTTTGCAAATATTCTCTTACAAAGAATGTAAAGGAGATGAAGCACCAACTCCAGCCCAGTGCAGGCTGGGGAGTGATCTGAGTTCTGTCACCATCCTGTCACTAACAGCACTGCTAATCCTCTCCTTTAATCTCCCATGTACTGCAGGGACAGGAACATATTTTTAAACAGCAATGAAATGTTAGGATGCTAAATGACTTGTCTTGTAACAGAAATTTAACAAGGTATCTGTTGTAGAATTCTGGAGTCCAGGCTCTCCAGTCCCCTGTTCTTACTTCTAATCTCCCACAGAATTCATGAGGATTGATGAGGAAAGCTGCAGACTAGACACGAGGGCTCCTGTATTCTATTCCTTGGCACTACTGATTGTGTGCCTTGAGCCCCTTTTGGAGCCGTGACCACTAACAATCAGAAAGAATTCAGCCTGTGACCCCATCAGTTCTTGGCTCCTGTTTAAATTGCCAATTAGAACAAGTTGGAGTGATGGATTTTGCTTTGGCTCTACTTGTCTACCTGACACTGGATCAAACCTACTGTCTCATTTCATGCAGGCAAGTAGCAGCTGATAGACAGCAATGCCTGTCAGTCATTGTCAAAATAGCTTTCATGTCCGTTTATTTATTCTGTAATTATTTTAGGCAGAGTTAATGGCACAAACCCCTTTTTACAGACTACTTCAGTTCTGCAAAACTAAGAAAAACGAGGGCAATCACTGTCCTGTACATAAAACTCACTGCAAGGCAACTGAGGACATGATCACCTTGCCAGAAATGAAATAAGCCTGCTAATAAAATATGAGAGTGGGAAAACGGGAAGAAAGTTCATAACAAAGGCTTTTTAAGGAACTGAGTCGGAGAGGTGGGAACTGCTGGAGAGGAACGTTGCCAAAGACAGCCTTGTCTGTTCAAGTATCTAAATGATGCTTCCACCCACTGTGAGAGAGGATTTGAGTGACAAGCCAGGGCTGTGCTGCTGCTGCAGCACGCACAGAAGTTGGCACACATACACACATAAACACACATAACCCAAAAACAAACCCACCCAGAAACAGATACAAAGAGAGAAGCTGAACACGCTGAATTTTGTCAACTGCAAGAAAGGATGTGAGATATGTGTGGGTGACAAGTCAGGAATGCAGTATTTCCAAAGAAAAGCATACTTTTTTTTTCCCCCAAGAGTATGATGTAAGTGATGAGACATGCTATGATTATGAACATGTAAAATGCTTACCAATGAAGTTATTTCTTCTTTAATTTATCTTTTCTCTCTAAACCCCTATTTCTCAGCCCTAGCCTGCATTCTTGCTCTGTCCCAGTGGATAATACCATCACTCCACCTATTATTAAGGTTCATAATCTGGATATTATTTTTTACTTTTTTTCTCCCCTCAGGCTTTGACAAAGTCTTACAGACTTTTTTCTGCATTGCATCTCTCGGTCAGAATTCTGCCCTGGCTTTCAGCAAATAAAATCAACATTAAATAAACACCTTTTTCAACATGTTCATAAATTCAGTCTCATTCAGTCATGTTTATATGCAACAGTGCTGCAAAAAATCATGTTGTTAATTTGTTAATCTATCCTTCAACTGTGTCACTTTTCTTTCCTGGTCCTGTTTTAGGTCTTTTCCTCCTATCACACGGAACACCAGCTTCATGCTCTAACTCCATTTACAGACCCCCTTCACCCCACACTGTTCACTGCTCAAATTCTGACTTCAGCCTTTCTAGGATTTAGGATGCTTTTGAGAGTCAGACTTTAAAACTTCCTTCTTTCAGCTGTTTCCTATGGTCAGTCTCCCCATTTGCCCTCCATTATCCACCAGATGTTATGTTTTTGCCCCATTGTCCCTCTTAAAACTCAGTCACACTGTTGGTGTGTTTTTAACACTGCATAATAACTGTTTTTCCTTATATCTCCACATTAATTCCCTTTCAACTTGTATAGATCTGGTTAGTTCCTGGAGTCAGGCACTGCTTTTATTTATTTGTTTTGCATGTAAAGTACTACCCACAACAGATTAGCTTTAACAAATACTATTGCTCATGAAAATCTCATAATACCACAAACCCAGCATCTTTCCTATTCTATTGTCCCTCTCCAGCTCTTTGCTCTGCAAACCAACCTGGTGTGGGTGTCTGCATATTTAATCTGAATAACTTCACTTGTCTGATCTACAACCTGTTACTGCAGTGATTTGAACAGTACCAGACACACATTCTATTTGTGCCACTGAGGACCCAAAGTGCTGCCTCACCTCAGGTCCCATCTCCTCTGTGCAGGGCAGGCTATTCAGTATTCAACTTTCAAAGTCCAGGGGGTCTCTGTTTGCTTGAGCCATTTCTAGTTCCTAAAATTTCCAGCCAAGTTTTGAAGACAAACACTGTTTTCCTTACTGACATAGAGAGGAAATACAAGCTCCTATACATTACCAGCGTATGCCTGATACCATTTATATGTGTGGGCCACGTGCTCTACACAGCAATGAACCAAATACTGAATTATTCAGCAGGATGCACCCCAAAATTCATGTTTTCTCCATTGCAATCACTCCCAGAACATCTTATGCCACTGGGAGCATTCTGGACATGGCACAAAGAGAACAGTTTCAAGCAGCGTATTCAATTGATGGAAAAACATTACTTTATGCACTATTGTCCAAGCAATAAGCCTCCAAAAAACCTCAGAGTAGGAAGAGTCTCAAACAACTGAAATCAGAATAACAACTGAAAAAAAGCATGAGTTGCTTCTTCCAGCAATTATACCTTACTTACCTAATAATTGTCAGCTTTTTACATTTTTATACATAGATTAATAGCACACACACAACAAAGAAAATGGCAGTGGTAGGAACTCTTATTGTGGTGCAAACAGCAAATCCATTAGAGTCAATTTAAAAAGAGAGACTACACTTTACAGCTTAGTAACTATTTCAAACTAAATAGATGTTGCAAAAGAAATGAAAAGAAATTTAAAAAAACCTACCCTTCTTTTTATACTTATTAAAGTGGCGCCGTCCTTTGCCAGTAAGCCAAAAACAAACAGAATGAAAATAAAATAATGAAAAACCCACACAAGGAGAACAGGAAAAGAAACCGCGAATAACATAAATCTGATTAATTAGAGTTCTTAAAAATCAGATTAAAAAGTCAACCGATCAAACATCGTACAAATTTTCGCTTTTAAAAAAATCCTAAAGCCTTCAATCCATTTAGATTAAAATATTAAACATGTTTCTTATTACATTGCATAATCAGCTAGAAGTATCTGCTAAATGGCAACTTCATGGCAGTTGACATAAGCTACTTGAGTCCATTTTTGTCCTTCTTTTACTAATCGGACACCATCTCTTAGCAGGCTATGCTCATCATGCCAATGTACAAATCCCGTGTGATGGCACATTGTTCACCTTTCCAGATTAGCAAAAGATGCTTATGATGCAAATCCCAGCATTTCAAAATGCAAAATTAAAGGAGGCTCTGTGCTCAGTTGCAAAACAGTACATGACAGTGTCTTTGGAAGTAGCTTTGTTAAAGGAGTGGAAGAGTTGCACGCCCTTCAAATATCTTCTGAGGTGAAGTGAAATTGTAGCCAACTCTGAGTCACTTCTAGGAACTCAACTCACTGTGCCACTGAACTCTACAAATGGTGAATGCAGGATGCCTGCTGGCAGATTTACCACAGAACTTGAAAAACCCAACTATGAGCAGACATCAACAGCAGGAACACTAAGGAAGAAGGACATCTTGATAAAACTCAGTGGTTATGTCATAGAGGTTACAGAAAAATAGAGATGAATATAAAAAGGTGACAACACACCAAAATAAGATGATCATAGCTGCATGTCTGATTCTTTAATTGATCCTTGGCCATTGCATCAGTTTTCATCAATAACTCCTACAGATAATTGTGGACAGGAGGTTACTCACAGTGCAGGTCAATTCACAGCAAATCTTCCACTGGCTTTAACCGTACACATTTGCTTTGTCAGGACTCATCTCCACACATTGAATTATCCTCTGATCAGCAGATTTTCTTTTTTTTTGTATGCCATGTCTTATCCACATGAGATCAAAATGTACCATTACCTTTTCTGTATGTTAGATGAAATTCTTTAACCTTAATTAGGTTAGACTCCAAATGATTTCAAAGGGAATCCTGCCCCAGCAAGGATGGAGTAAATCTGTTGATATTGGATACTTGAGAATAAGCTATTTCCACAGGTAAGGGTGAGAAATAACCCCCTCTCCCCAGTATTTGGCAGGAGTGTTTAGGAGGGGGAAGTTTGTACCACTTCAATCAGGGTATGAAAGTACTACAGCCTGTGGGGTTGAGCCAAAAGTTCATCTCTTTCCAGTAGTTTTCATGGTATTTTCCTGGAGCTAATGGATCTTCAGTGCTGTCTCCCACAGCTTTCCCTCATTTTCATCTTTTAGAACAACCTGGATGGAGTAGTGCCTGTGCACTGCCTGCAAATAGTTTGCAGGAGATTCCTCCAATGATTCACTGTTTCTGGTGGCCTCAAGATCAGCCCTGTAACAGGGCATTCACTGCTATAAAGGATCCCACTTCCTACCTATCAAACTTGGGTTTCACCCAAAGTGAAGCTCTCAGACTGCTGTGTTGCTGCATGGACCAAGTTCTAAAAGCCATCTGAGGAGCTTGTTCACATTTCTCCCGTATTTCTTTATCTGAGTCTTGCCTTAAATTGTTCTACAGGGGAGAAATGAGACATTGAAAGATGTGTTGCTAGGGAAATAATAATTAAAAAAATCTGATGGAAAGAAAATCATTATACTTCCATACTTGTGACAGCTTAAATATAAATTTAATATTACTGTAAATGTACATTTAACATGTGTCTGCACATGGCATATACTGGAAAAGATGCAATTCTCTATCTCACTGTACTGTGTTTTACCATGCATACAATCCCAATTTCGATTTCTGCCTTCTCAAACTGCTCTCACATATAATGAGCAGTCAAGCGAGCAGACAAATCTGTGGCCATGCGAACAGGCATGGAAATGCCTGTGAAATGGGTGAGGCACAGAGCCCTTACACCCAACTAACTCAGCCACAGCTCTGGGCAGGGCTCACAGGGTGATGCTGTGCAGTTCTGTGCCTGCACAGAAACACGAGTGCTGTCAACACGCCCGTGTTGTCATTTTAGGTAGCTTTCCCAGGTTCTTTGTTCTTTAGAAATGCCACGATGTCTGACAAGAAAACAGTGGAATAGTTGAAAGAAGCTTCCAAGAAACCATTCCTGCTTTTGAGGGGAAGGAGACAACACAGAAAGGACAAAGCGGGAAGCAGAGGGAATGCACTGAGGGGCAGGAGAAGCCTGACAGATACAGATACAGTTTGACGCCCTAGAAAAAAAAGCTGTTTTATCTGTCACAGCCTGAACAAAGTATTTTCTAGCATTAACACAGCATACAGTGTTACACAGAGGTTGAGTACACAATGCAGGATTGCTCCACAACTCAAAATGCAAATGAGTTGATATAATGGCCATGTATGTGTGAAGGGTGGCAGTGAAGCACACAGTCACTGCATGCACACTTTCACAGGTTAACACCACAGAAATGCATACAGCTGTCAATCTGTATTTATAGCACACATTATCACACCATTTACTTTGTGGGATACAGATATCTCCTCTCTCTACTTGCCAGCTGTCTTAATTTCTCAGGTAATCAAACAACATGCACGCTGTATTTGAAGCATTCTTTAAAATGAGCAGGGCGAGCACTGAAATAACAGCATTAGCTCTCCAAGGCCCTTGGGGTCTCTATTTTATTTTTTTTTTAATTTTTTTTTTTTGTACTGGGGTACCTTCAAGAGCCAAATATGGAGACACTAAATGGAAATTACTCCCTCCAGTACAACTACAACAGCTACTCAAGGAGTATTTCACAGACAGGCATGAGTATGCTGGATGTTACAGCAGGGAGAGGGGTGGGTCACAAATAACTGTCCTCAGGACTGGATCAGGGGTCTAAGAAGAAATGAGCAAATTTCTAAGGCCCTTCAAGTTATTTAAGAAAGCTTTCAAACACGAGGCATTCCCTCTTCGAACTCTAACAACCCTATCCCCGTGGAAAACAACTGTGAGCACAATATTGATAGTGTGCCTAAATCTCACACAAACTAAGAAGGAAGCAAATTGTAAAATGTTATGAGTGTCCTCAGGAACATTAGGGAATACAAACAAGCCATTGAATTTAGACAAAATATCTGATACTAGCTGTATAACTAAAGAGCTCCTTCTTTATGAATCTTTTCCCTATGACAGCTATTCCAAACTCTCAGGAAAACTTAATAAACACATTGTGCCAATCCACAGATGTCATTTAGATTTCTGCTTAATCCTTGACAGTAACATATTTCCCAGTTTTAGTTGTTAAAATTTACAACTGACATTTAAGAAAAGGTTTATTTTAAGATTTTATCAAGGCCTACTTATTTTCCTATAAGAGGCGAAGTTCCTTTGGTCAAAGTAACTGTATATACAAGAAAGATGCTTTGTGCTAGAAGTAAGGCTTAGGCAAGCCAGAATATATACTACATGCTGTCAATGAAGAGAATCAGTCTTCTGTTGCAGATCAGTTAATGATTATCAGAAAGCATTGATAATTCATCCACTTTTACAGAAAATAAATTTATTTTCTGCCATTTCTGCCTGCTACCTCTGCCACAAAAAAGCTGCAGCAATGCAAGTTCATAGGTAATGTAGAAATACTTCCTCTTAATCCTATTGAACTTGAGATCTAAGGGAAAAAAAGCATATTGATCTATTTGAATCTAGCTTGGACCCATGCTAGCAAGCGGGCACTGCAGATCCTTACATCACAAACACACACTGTGGTTATTTGTAAATACAGGGAAAATGATACCTTTGGCACAGTCTGCTCCATGAAATCCTGGAAAACAGTGGCAGACACCTGACACACACTCGCCATTCCCGTGGCAATGACGTGGGCAGTCTTGCACCGAATCTGAAACACAAGAAACACAGGCAGTCAGCCTGCTCATTTTTTTTGCTTAATTTTTCTTCAGTTTATTTTGTCTTCGATGCTTAGAGGAACAGCCCCTAATAATATGAACACCACAAGGTTTGGGTGAAGCAGAATGTACCAAATTTTGTGGCAGCATGAATAGGTGTTGAGATCTAGAGACACACCAAAGTGTCACGTTCAGTCTCTGGGCACCATTAGAACTCAAAGTCTTCTGACAGTGCTCAAGCCCTCTGTTCCAACAGATTGGTGGGACCTCTTAAGACCTTCAGAGCTATGTTGAAATTTATATTATGCAGCAAACATAACATTTCACCAGGAAAATCAACACTCTCCCTCCTGCAATGAGACACTGTTCCTGCACAATCACTCTGCCATGGGACACTGATTATCCCAAGGACTGTATCTTCCTTGCCTTCTACAGACATTTAAAGGCTCATTAATTAAACTGACAAAAATATCTGCTGAACGTGACAGAAAGGAGCTCTTTTCTTCTGGCAAATACACTTGATCCTAAAAAAAAAAAAAGAATTAAAAAGGTGCAAGTAGCTCTGCAAGAGGATGAAGGAGAATTCTGTAAAATCTGAGGACAAAGTTTAACATTAGAGTGACTGACTGAAGTGATGACTTCAATAATATGAGGAGAATAGGTACATCAGCCTGGTAACGTTTCGGCTGTACCAACACACTAATTTTCCATGATTTCTGTTATTATTTGCATAACAGCAACCTAGAAATAAAATTCCAATTTTGAAACGAATTCTTAAAATCATTCTAATTTGAAAGCTGTTGGATTTCAGTGGAACATATTTTCAACACTGAATTATTAGAGCAAAAATCTAATTGGGCAGTTGTTGCTCTTCACTATTACTCCCTGTTGTTGTGGCTTCAAACTAAATGGCTCTGTCAGTCCCAGATACCAAACCAAGAGCATCGGTACAAGACAGAAGATAAAATTTGGATTTGGAACCAGCAGAAACACACAGAGTATTTTTTGTCAAACTAAACTTCAAAGAACAAAAGGACTCAAGTACAACTTTAAATCTAATTTCACAGTTGCAGGACACCAAATACAAAATGTCTAAAGCAAATTCCCAAAGAGATGTCATCAGCTTGGCCTCCTGAAATGATTCATGTAAACAATGAAGAGAAAAATTGAAATGTAATGCTCAAAGATATCAATTTGTCTCATGAAGGAGCTTGTTTATAGATTTATTCATTATTTTGCTTCATGGCACACGAAAGCATTCTTCTATGTATTCAAAATCATGGTAAATTCAGTATTGTCTGCGAGTTAACATAATTTCTGTTATTCTTTCTCCTCTTCCACACCAGAGAGATATTCAGCTGTCTCAGATCCTTTGATTATGAAGTGTCTGATGTGGGTGTGTGTAGAACCACCTCGGAAGCAGATAAAACACTATACTTTTCTTTGGATTTCATTCCAATTACTATCATTGCACTTACAAGTAGTCTACCTGACTGTTAGACCTTTGATGGTCTTGAAAGCTGTAGCCTAGACCAGACAACTCTTTTAAGAGCAGCTTATGGTTATCATAACATAAGGTTATGATAACCTAAGGTTATCATAACAGAGGCATAACAAGATACAAGCACAAATGTTGGTTTTGGAGAAGCAGAAAAAGCCTTCTATGGGCAAATATGCAGATCTCTGTCTCTCTATATATATCAAGATGTATAGCACCTTAACTCTTACTAAGCCAAATATAAGCTATGAAAAAACAATAATTTCTTCATCTTAACTGAGGTTAACAGAAGTAATTATGTTCATACTTAATGACAGTATTGACTATCCACCTACACCCTTCTTGGGACTTAAACCAACAAACTGAATTTTATACTGGTGTAAAAGGGAAAAAAATTAACTTCATATTATTAATCAGGCAAGGTTGGAAAATACCTCTGACTATTGAGTTTAAAGATTAAAAACTGACTTGTACTTTTTGCAGCTTCTCTTTCCCTGAACTAACAGGAATTTATACAATACAGTGTCATTTAACACTTCACCAGCCAGGGCAGAATATAAGATAGACTATCTCAGAAATTGTTATGCCTCTGTGACAAGACAGTCAGCAAAGTCCATTAAGTCCTTCAGAGTTCTAACAAATCTAATAAAGCCTGGAGAATTTAGACTCACTCTGATTTTCAACTAAATGTAACCCTATTCTTCTAACAAAACTGCAGGCAAGATGTTTGGCTCTTGATTCCACCATGTTGAGGAGACGACTCACTATTAGGTGAGTGCTAAGCTGTAAGACAGCATACAGCTAATTAACTGACTCAATTAATCTCTAGGGTGGCTGCAAACAATAACCTCATTTGCAGGTATCGTTTTCTTGAGCTGTCTTTCTACTAAGATTAAACAGCTCTCCTGTTGGATCCTATTCCACCTGGGTGTAAAGAAGCTTCTTCAGAGAAGCAAATAAGAGGTATAAAAATGACAGATAAGGGAGAGGAATATTAACTGGGGAATGCTTCAAACCAGACTGAACTTATCTGAGCCTTGTGTTCCAAAACTAGACTCAAGATGTATGGAAATGCTAAAATATTAAGAGGGAAATCAGCAATTAAAAATTTGCTCTTTGTCAAGAGTAGTGTTGAGGGAAAAAAAAGGCACAACATAACATAAGGACAAACAACAAACAGAAGATTGCAAGAAAGTATTACAACTTCAAGTGAGGGAAAGTGCAAACAGAATGGAAAAACGCTCAGCTGGTGGAAACACCTACCCAAAATGACTGTACTGAAAGAAACCACTTCCTTGTCCTTGCCATCATTGTAAAATGCCAGGTGCCACAAACCCACATCCAGGTACTGGACAAACACGGCCTCGTTCTGAACAAGGGTCTGAATGCTCCGACGTTCCCGTGGGGACTCCACCACACTCCATTTCTCTTTGCCATCCAAGCGTTCCATGAAATCATACTGCAGGGTAAAAAAACGGGGGGAAAAAAAGAACAAAACAAACCAAAACACCACAAACGAACAAACCCCCAAACAAACAGAGCTGAATGCACAATGATATTTCAGCTCAAAGTCTCCTCTACCTTCTTATAAAATGGTATTTCTGAAAGACAGGTCAACGTGAAACTAACATTTACCAGTTGACCATGGAACACACATTCTGTGAATTATGCAGCTTTCTCCTGTATAGGTGACCGAAAAATGTATAAATGGTACTGCTTAACAGGATGGTTTTTGAGAAAAAATTTGAAATCTATGATTTGACCCGTTACTTTTAGGTTCCAGCTTTCAAAGTTGAAAATGTTCAGCCTTGGAGACACACACCCTTTTCTAAGCAATCACCTACAACAAATTCTTGCTGCAACAGGAGCAGACATCTGAGATGTAGCTCCAGACACACCACTGAACGGAAGCCCCCAGAATGTGGAACAGGAATAGCACAAACAGGAAATGTGTGTCTAAGTTTGGATAACTCAGCACCTGATAAAAATACACTGCTCAAGTTTTACATCACAGAGTAAAAGTTGCTTACCTGAGGTTGTTTGTGGAACAATCAGGGGCAAGTATGGCACAATAACCAGAGGGAGCATGGAAAGGAATAACACAAATCAAGTGGCTGAAGGAATTGAACTTATATTAAGGAAAACTGAGAATTTCTGGTTGGATGGTTTCCAAGTATGGTAGAACACTGCATTAATCTTTGGAAAAGGGATCAAACAGAGCAAGTGATTATTTAGAGTATAAGAGGGATGGCACCATTAATGGCATGGAACTAAAAAAAGAAAGAAAGAAATTTAAGATGAATGTCAGATAAGTTTCCCATCTATTAAGCTCAGTAAATAGCCTCCCAATGGAGATGCCACAATTAAACAGGACTGGAAGAAATATTGGTTAGTCTACAACAGGGAATAACTCTGCATAACAAAGCAGCTGGACTAGCTTTCCTAATAGGCTTTTTTTCTGTCTTTATTGTCTGTGATTCTGGAGCTCTCAAGCTGATGCTAATGCTCAACTGAGTGGCTCTCATAGTCCCTATCTAAGGGAAGCCCTTAAGAAACAACAAAAACAATATATCTAATCTTTTGATAGTTGTATAACAAGTCCCCTATGAAAACACATCTTGTTTTAGACACATTTATCTGTGTAGGAGTAGATAGAGATAGATAGACATGTCTAAAGCAAGATGTATGTGTTCAATAAAATACAGTAATAGCATGTGCTTGCTTGCCAGTAGCTTCATTACATTTCCCTCCGTTATCTCTAACACATACAGGCTGTGCTTGCAACAGCTATGAGAAAACATCCACCTTTCCTTGCTTTCAGTTTCAACAGAAAACTGTAATTTTGCATCCTAAACAGAATAAACATCCACAGAGGGATGTTTTGTACACAGCACTCCACTCATTAACAGCGAGTCCTAGCAAATCATATACAATATGCAATAAAATAATGAAGATTCTCCCTTCTAGTGGAAGAGACTGAATGGATTTAACACTTTAGTGCCATGTCTCACATCTGTCTAAAACTGGGATATAAAAGCTCACCTTGCTAGCTGAAAATTTTTAAGTTATATATCAGCAATACACTTGGCCTTATAACAATGGGAAATATCTGGAAGTTCTATTGGCTTCCTAGTAAACATGTGGATCTGACACCAATATGTAGCCACGAAGGAAATCCGTGGCAGGGAGGAGGAATTTGAGTCCAAACCAACTAAAGCTAAAAGCTATCATCACATTATCCACTCTTTCCTATGCCTTTAAACATGGGACAGTGCAAGAGAAGTGGAATAAAAAGTGTCACCATACTGTTAATATCAGATTGCCATCCACTTGAGCCTTTTCTCACATGGCATTTTTACAGGGGAAGGTAAATCAGCCAAATTAGTACATTTAAGCCAAAGCACACCAGAGATTTAGAGAATTCTGGCATGTCAGTAATTTTCAGAGGATCCGAGGTATCAAACACACATATCTCTATCTCTTAAATCAATGACATTTGGAAACACTGCTAAAACCCACTGTCTAACAGCCAGAGGTTAAGGACAGACTCATCACCTCCTTGGGAAATGTTATTACTCGGGCAACATCTTGGGGAAAAGAAATTGTGCTCTTCAGAACAATCGTTCACAAAGGGTCAACTAAGGAAGCAGCAATAAAAGCTGACATTTCTCACTGGCAACACGCTGTTCGTCTCTGCTTGTGCTGGCAGGTTCCTCTGCCTCCCCTCTGTTTGATGCTGATTCCACCTCATGGAGTGGAGAAGGCTCAGCAGTTGGCCAGATCGAAGGGGAAGAGTGTTCAGCCTGAAGCTGCTTGAAGTAGTTTGAGCTGCACAATCTCTTTTCACGATGACGGGGTGTGACCCAGTGAGAGCAGATCCCTTGGCACGACTCCCTGTAAGGCTATGATTTTAACTTTGGTCCAATTAAGGCTGGCCTTGCCCCTTTTTGATCAAACTATGAAAAATAATTTAATGCTCAGGCAAAAAAATGACTAAACCTGAATAACTCTATGAATGGTTAAGTACCGGTGCAAACTGAATATAACTATACATTTTTATCCCTCTTTGGGTTCCTCAGGACTGAGAGGGGGGAAAAAAAAAGATAATGATCCGCTGGTGGTTCCCTGGGTGTACTAATCTTAATGTGTCAGCAAGGACTAGGTATATGTACCCCAAAATTGAAAATCCCTGACTGAAGAGTCACTGAGATGGCAGTGTGAATTCATAACCCGATCAGATTTTTTCACATGGTTGGCTGAATCATCATTTTGCTTCTCCTGGCCCTGTTGATTTTCTGATTTACCACACTTGAGAGATTAATTACTTTTATATAATGTTGTGCTGAAGATATCAGTCTTGCTTTAAAGCTACTTATTGGCATATATGAATAGATTAGAAGACCCATCTAGGAAAAGAAGGCAAGTAGTTTCATGATCATTAAGAAGCAACTGTGGAATTCTTAATCTAACACACACAACACAACTGCTAGGGAAGAGACTGCTAAATCACAGGAATTAGGGAATGTATGTGTCAAACCAACCCAAATCTCTGAAGTAATTTGGATGTTTCAATGACTTTTGACTTTTTTTTCCCTTTTTTTTAATGATCCTTTATATTTCATGGTTTCATGCTGAAAGTCACACAAAAATGGCAAAAACTGCTCAGGAACAACATGCAGCAGAAATCCCAAATGACTACATCATCAGAGTTCAATTTTGCAGCAGGGAGTACTTACTATGATTAAAGCTCCATATAAGCAAGTGACTTGCCAACCTACCTCGCTAAACAAATTCCAAATTCACACTCTCGGTGAGTTTGTTTATTTTTACTACCCAGCATATCGAAACCCTACTGCTTACTTTTATTTACAAACCTAAAATCTCATACTAAGTTCTTTCTGGGCAATTTGTTTTTATAATTTCTCCATTCAGTGCTTTCGGTGCATTTTATTCATAGGCTAATAAGAACTTTCTTTTTCCAGTAACCACGGGGAGCCAGCAAAACAGTTTTGGAACTTTACATATGCAGTTGTGACTCCACTGCACAGGGCCATCCATCCAGCACAGATCCACTGAGCCCAGTTTCACAGACACAGTGAACTTGTGAACACTGCAGTGCAGAGAGAGCTCACAGGGGTCAAGGCTGAAAATGCAGAGAGCCTGCACAACCTTCAGGGCCTTTCTTAGATTTGAAACTATTTTCATGCCTATTTGGAATCAGGAATGGAAGAGAAGGATTTCTCAGAGCTCTTGTCTCAATAATGGATGCATATCCAAATGGAGGGGAGAGCACATTTGGCATTGTGGCTCTTATCTGCCTTTATGCCAAAGCCCTGCAGGATCTAAGCAGCCAAGAAAACATATGTCAGGGAAACTTGTTTGCAAAGTGCTTTAAAATTAGTTCTTCATAAAATCCAGTTGGTAATTATTAATTAAAATACAGCCATGAAACATCTGATACCCTCCATGACAGCCAAGCAGTTTGTTTCCACACTTGGATGTGACACAAGCTGACCAGGGCAGCGCAGCACAGCACTCACAGACAGGAGGTGGTCAGAGCACCTGAATGTGTCTGAGCACTGGCTAAAACCCAAGGTAACACTGAAGCTCCCCAGCTCTTCAAGTTGTTTCAAATAAAGCCATTTTCTCTTCTGAATGAAAACAGTTTTCGTTTTGACGTGAAAAATTTGTAAGCGTACCACACTCTGCTGGACATGAAAACAGCACAGCTCCACGCACTGCCTTCTCCAGACATTCCAGTGATGTTCCTGTAAGGTTACTTTATTTCATGCATCATTTGGAACGTTCTACCAACATGCAGCAACCTCATAATTTCTGTAATCTCTGCAGAGTCACTTTGTGCATTATTTGACATTTACTGTTCATTTTCTATACGTTATCAATTCTATTAATATGACTCTCTTCTACTAAATTCCTAATGATCATTCAAGCCTGCAACGTGCACTCTGGTATTTCCACACAGTACTACACAGGCTGGGAGGATTTTGCTCAAAAGCACTGCATTCCTGTTTGCAGCCTGCCTGCCACTCAAAACTGCATTTTTACTGCTCCTCTAGAGCCCTACTCCCTGTGCACATGGCACACGAGGCTGCTTCCAGACAAGTTTACAGCTACATCAGCTTGACTGACTAAACCAGACATTTGGAATATTTGCTAAACAGTAATACTGAGAAGGTTAAATCTCAGCAGGGCTCTCACACAGGAACTGCATCTTGTTGTCTCAGGTTAATCATGTACCTAATTTGCTGATTATTGACTTGCTCCCACAAAGGATTTTACTTGGCTTGACATATCAGCACTGATCAGTGATGAACTGTCAAGTGTAGCTGTTTCATTGCTTTAGAGCTCATGTCCCCAACCTACAGAAACAAGGATTTTAAATTTCAATTTTAAAATATCGCCTGGTGTCAACTTCAGACTATTTTCATTAATACAAAAGCTTTGTGCTCCCTTCTGTCAGAACAAGGCTTCTTTTCACTAACTCAGGTCTGTAACAGCTTGCCTTTTTTTCCCTAAAATTATTTCTCTTGGTAGCAGCTTGACTGAATTTTGATTGCTGGGCAGAAATGCCAAGGAATCTTCTGCTCTACCACCCTGTTAACAAGCAGCAGGACCCTGCATGAATGTGGGAATGTTTATACTGGTTGGTACTGCAGATTCAGACCAGATGTAGACCAGTTTATACTGCAGATTATACTAGTGGATTTCAGTAACCCTATTTATAGAAGAGGTTTGGAACTTGGTCTAAAGACTGGAAAGCAGCTTCTCTGAGGAGAAATCTAGCTCAGGAGGAAACACAGTTGGTATTTCTCATTATTTAATTTATCAGAAAGGTCAGGAAATTTATATTCTATGGATGTGGAGTGAAAGAAAAAAAATCAAAACTTTGCCTGATCACAGCCTTCTCAGATGAGAACATAATGAAACCTAGAACAAATACATTTGATCATATTGCAATATAAAGTTCACCTTGAATTAAAAAGAAAAAAAAATTGTGACTACCACTTACTTCCCACTGGATTTCTTATAAAAGGTACAGGCTTACCTCCACCATGTCTTAGTCAAAAAATTATAATTAACCTGTATTTATAGCAAATCTTGATGATTGCTTTGGAGCTTTGGTTGCTTTAAGTAATATTCACTTCATGATTTCTACTTTTGTTTGTTTTCTTCAACTAAATGGCCATGTTTTTCATGATAGAGTAGAGGAAGTGAGTGCCAAAATTCTGAATTAAATGAGACATGCTCAGTGAATTATGCCATTACCTCATTGCAACAGCTGAAGATCCACAGACATACTTTCACCCTCAAGACAACAGATTGAAGCATTACAGCCAAAACATGCTTAAGAAAGGTTCCCACCCTGGAATGTATTCTCTGTGGGTATTTTTTGTGTTGCATGGCTGTCTGAAAACGGCTTAAAATCACTCAAGAGTCCTTTGCAATTTCCCCTATTTATGCAGTCTTTTTAACAAATTTTGGGATGCTGCATGTTAATGTCTAGTTACATGGAAAAGTGACCACATGCCCTCCCCTCCTTGGGTTGTGGGCTGCTGATCCTGATTCCTCACCAGACAGATATATCCATTCAGCAACTCAGGGAACATTTTAAAGAGCATACTATAAAGTAAGTTGGTGGATTTTGAATAGCCAAAGCTCCCTCTTCACAAATTCTTAGAAGCAGAGGACATAAACCCACGCAAACCCCCTCACTCCTTTCTTCCCAGCTCCAGTCAAAGATTTTAGTCCTCAGTCAGCACTACAGGAAAGAATAAACACCAAGGAACAAGAGGCAATGAAGAAGAATTCCATAAATTTGCCTGACATTGGGAAGCAGATCCAAAATTCAGATAATGTAAGAGTAGTTTTCCCCAGAAAATTAATTGGCTCACTGTTTGTACCATGAGTTTGTGCATGCACATGGACACAGATCACCCTGGGCTGATATCTCTTTACAGGCAGCATTACTTTCCCTACATGGCAATATGGAGCAATGCAATTATGTTAAAGCCTCTGGGCTTTTAGCTGGGATCATGTATTTTAACCATCTATGCAAACTGCAGTTTGCTTTGCCAAAAACTAATAATAAAAAAGTAGAAGCAGTTCTTTGTAAATCAGGGCAAGGCATCTAGAAATGGTAAATGAGGCTTTCCCAAAAGGAATCATGGAATCATTGCTTTTATAAATGCATATACTAAACAAAGCATTTAATTTTAGCTGAGAGTTTCTGAATGAAGAACTGATTTGTAGTAGCAAGGATATACATGAAGGAAGGGGTTCTTTTTCCAAAAGGTGGTTATTTCTGCTTCCCTTCCACTCTAAAGAACGGAGGCTTTTTCCCTTTAGCATGTGTAACTGCAAATATATTATTTCTCATACAGTTCTAATTTAACTAAATGGGAATCTTTCCATTCACATTAATGAATTTTCAATATAATAAAAAAAACTCTCTCTGTAACAGAAAATATCACTGAATATTCTCATAGCAAAGAAATTAAAACATCCACTGCACAACCTAGAAGAAAAAAATACTTAACTTTACAACTACCTTACCTACAGCCCTTAGCTCTGTACTACAGGGTCACTGTAAAAACGTGGTGTTACTGAGTTCTCATCCCTGAGGTTGGTTAGAAATCAAGAAGAATTGGGTTTCCCAACTGCAAGACTTGCCCCATGTCTGAGTCAGATGATATATCTAAATAGTGTCTTTGAAGGAAAAGGGGTTTAATGAAAGCTCTCAAACATGTGGCCACTGTTTCATGTTCTCTAATGTGCCTGGGTGGCAGAGATGTCAAGATCTGTTGCATCCCCCAGGGATGGCACTCAAACTGCCTGTGGAGATTAAAACTTCTCTGAAGATAGAAAATTCCATATTAACACATCTGGCTGTGCAGGCACTCCCACTGCACACAGGGCTGTGATAACGGGAGCCTGACCAACACCACCCATCATTTTGACTGCTGTATAACTGGGTGGTTTTGTCCCAGTTGGTGCCAGATTTTATCAGAGACTTGAAACCTTGCTTCAAGTGATCTTAAAAAGATCACTTCTTTTATCAATGTATTGCTGAGGTATGTAACAACCTAGAAATGTTAATACCAGGGTGTTCAGTCAAATATCACATTACAAAGTAATTCACAGGAATCCCTAAACTTGAGTTCCATAAACATCAACTTTAACACAGATGCTCTAAACGGTTTGCATTTTGACATTTAAAGCCAACGAACACATCGATAAAGTACCTGGGCATGTGATGGTGGGAGTCCTCTTCTTATATAAACACCAAAAAGAGCATCCTTCCCTAAGGATATGTTGAACTTCAGGAACTGTGGCTGGCTGATATGGATCTGAGACCGCCAAAAAACTCCGGGGGGCACCTCCTGGGTGACCCTGTGTCCAACTTCTGTTTCTCCGCTATCTATGCTGCTATTCCTACTGACCCATGGTCCTATAAAATAAAAGCAAATATAAATCAAATGAGAGAGCTGCTTATAATACAGGTAAGTTTTATTCATTCAAGATGAACATCTGTGGCATTGACACCTCTTAAATCAAACTGTAACTTTCTTATTCTGATGCAATCTGCCCGCTGTTTCAACCAGTAAGGAAGAATTTGGGCCTGATATTCGAAGTAAGAACTCTGTAAACCTTTTTTTTTTTTTTTTTTGTGGAACATCTGCAATCTTCTAAGCCCTCAAACTCTTTAATTCTGCAATTGCTTCTTCCTGATCAAATATAGTGACAGTAGAGAGTCAATCAAGCACATGTGAATCTCCCTGTGCTCTTTTCAATTGCGTCCTTTACACAACCAGAGTATAAAAAAATTACCAGAAAGGTGAACTGAAGGGGTAACTTCAACTTCAACCTATATTAACTGATTGCAAATTTTTATTACCACTGTTTCATTCACCAAAGTAGGACAAAAGAGTGGACAGACAAAATGCAATGCACAGAAAAGGGTTTAGAGGACAATTTCTGAACTCTAACATGCATCTTCTCCTTGAAAGAAAGCACAACTCAATGCAGTGCCTTTTAACTTCTCTCTGCCTGAGGCAAGGTCCACCTACAAGTCCTTCTCCCTCGTGCTGTGGTTAGTTAAAATCCATCATTTGTTGGTTCTTCATCATGCATTATTGAAGACAAGATACAAGACCTTTCTGGCTGAGTGCTCTGGCTTCCAGCCCATGGAAGAGTGAACCTTTAAAAACATGGTGCAAATCCCTTCTGAACAGGTTCTGAGGCTACACATATTTTAAACACAGAGTGTAATAAATGGAATGAGTAGTGCTTTGATTCTGTCTTCTGTATTCCCAAACAACACGGCCAGAAACGCATTTAAAAATTCTTACAACAGACACTATAACGACCAGAAGACCACAGAAAATAACTGTTAACAATCACAGAAATTTAAAAGCATCATTAATATCACTATTAAGATATATTGGATGGTAATGATACCTCTGATACAACCTGAGGGCGTTTGCAAAAAGCTCAATGTTTACTTGGTGCTTTTCTTTCATGGTGCAATGGTATTTTCCATAACAGCAAGTTACTGTTGAAATATATTCCAGCACTGTATGAATGTAACAGGATGGCATGGAATAACATATAATTCCAGCAGGTAAGTACATAACAGCTTTTCTGTCTTGACTATCTTTAATTGAGAGAGCTGCAAAAGCACTGTTTCAATTATAGACTCCAAATTATCTATGTTAGCAGCACTTACTCTTGTACATAATGAAACAGATATTATGTTGGCAGTGTTTTGAAATGGTAAAAGAATGCTCTGAATACCAACTGCTCTACAGTTTTCGGCAACTTGTTTGTTTTTTCATTTTCTATGTTAATGGGTCTGCAATAACATCACAGCACTAACAAAGAAAGAGAAAGGAGGAGATGCTGAAACAAGAAAGATGCTGCAAAGAAAGGAAAAATGGCTGAGAATGTCAAGGAATGTGCTTTTAGAGCCGCCCAAGAGCACAGATAGAAACCAGATTCAAACATGTACTGTTTCATAAAACCTACAGGATGTCATTTCTAATGGATTACTGCAACAGAGGATACCTCAAAGTTCCAATCTCAGTGCAGTCGAGCACCATCTCACTAGAATTTAAATGAGTCCTTACCCACATGGACAGGAAAACCAGGCACAGAGCACAGAAAAATCACCTGCTAGGTGCTACACTGGAATCACTGGCAGGGCTGGGAAGTCAGCCTAGAACTGAGGGCTCCTTCATCCCCTTTAAGTACAACATTACTCCACAATTCCAAACTATGGTAATAAATGATGAATTTTTTCAACATTCTTAAAAAGCATGCTGTAAATCATTTCTTTGGAAGCCAACTGTGCATACCTTGAGGAGCATCAGCTCTATCTAATCTGACAAAGGCTCCTTGACACACTCAAAGAACCTTGTCCTTCAGCACCAGTATATCCAAACAGTCAAAAAAAAAAAAGCTATTTCCAGTAGTTATTATTATTATTATTCAGTGCAGCAAATTTACTGAGCATGCAAATGGTAAGGCCACCATAGTCCCTATTGGCAGTTATGGTTTCATTGGCTCTTTAAGCAGCTCCAAAACACCACCATCAATGACCTTTGCTAATTGTATTGCTTCCAAATCTGTTGAGTATATATTCCCTAGAATTACAACTTTTAATTCTAATGGAGACTCAAGTTTTAGTATTTTTGGTTAAATTCAGCCTTAACATCCTTTGGATTTCCAAAATTCTGTATGGTTTTTCTGTCTGGGAAAGGACATTTTTGAAAACTCAAATACATCAAATAAGCTAAAACTATAATGTTCCAGCATTCAGGAGAAGCAGAGTTACATTCACACTACTTCAGCATGCAAAAATAAAAATATATATCGGATGTCAAACTTTACTGACCAAAGATTTTTTAGAAAAAGACCATTTCTTTATATTTCTCATTAAAATTTTGAAGCTATCATCTTAGAAACTGGTGAAAACAACAGCTAAGACAATTTGTAGTTATCAGTCAGCCTAGAGAGAAAATTCAGGTTCCTAATACCGAAATGATTCAGTTCAGATTTGATATTATCTTTGGAAGCATTTCCCCAGAGATGCTCTTTTTGTTTTGCTCTAAAACATAAATGGCCTGGTTTCTAGTTCTCCAAACCACTCCTCCTGGAACATTTCAGTGTCCCAGGAAAATTTACCTGGGAAGAGAACTCTGACAGGGGCTCAACACAGCAGAGGATATGAAGAGCAGGTTGGATGATCAGCTATCACAAGCGATCAAGATGTACTTAACACACAATAAAGAATGGAACAGATGGGTGACGCTTTTCAAGTTGTATTTTTGTAGTACAGCATCCTCTGTATCTGCCCTGTATCCAGCCTGTGCCACATCTGTGACAAACAGCTGCTGCCTCACCTCTGGCATCCTGAAAGGGATCCTTTTCTTTTGCTTTTGAGAATTTAATACATGACATCCTGGTTTTATGGCGCTACATTACAATGCTGAAATAACACAATTCAGAAATGCTTGAAGTTGTGCCAAAATGTAGGTTTCATATTTGCAAGTTTAACTAACAACTTAGAAAGTTTTAAGTCCAGGAATGTATCAGAGCTCTAAGATTATGCATTATTGAATCATACTCTTATAAATTCCTGCTGAGTTATTCATGTTGATATGAGACACAAAATTAGTGACAGCATCTTGGTTCTACTCCTTGCTTTGATGCTGCCAGTGCACCTGAGTTGGCCATGGCCTTGGTGTTCTCAGATGACTGCTTGTAAAACAGAATTATTAACAATGACAGAATTATTAAAAATTCTCACCTTGAAGATGAGGAATGCAGAGCAGTAACATAAAAATACTAAAGGAGGTGTCTCAACATCGGCCCTTTCATGTTCCTTCCCCCCCAGGTTAGAAATACAGAAAGGAAATGCAAAGTAGGTATGACCACTGAATCTCTTTCCTTAGTTAATAGGCTTAAGTTTATTTTTTTTAACCTGAAAAGCAGACCATCATCCTGGTTTTTGTATTTGCAATGCCTTTTTTTTCTACTAACAGCTTCGCTGGCAAACCCTGTCTCTACAGACTCAAACTTTTTTTATAGCTCCCTTCGGTCCTCACCTCCTAAAGCACAGAATGTATCTTGCCACCTGACTCACTCCCCTCCAGCTATTTTTAGAAGCTTTTCCATTTTGATGGACCAGTGCAGATCACATTCAAAGAACATCAACTGCATTTAAGTGAAGTTACAGATGTGACAAACTGACAAATCTGGGAAGAAAGACTAACCCCAACAACTCACACTACTGAGAACAAATGAATCCCAAGATCATTCTCTCTGCTGTGGGTGACTGTTGTAAAGTTTCATCTGTTTATCTCATAACCCCATGGATACTTGATTTTTTTTTCCCCTGTCATTTCCTCTCTGTAAACATCTACAAAAGAGTTTTAAAAGCATACTACTTCATCTTACCCAGGGGAGCCATTTCAATCACTCAGTCAAACATATATTCATCAACTAAATAACTCTTATTCATTTAAACTGCTGTGTTATTTACCCAGTTGAATTACTATTTTGGCATATACATTTGAAAAGACTGCTTTAGCATTCAAGTATATTTGCCTTTGAAGCTATCAGAGAGGCAGTACATGACAACAGCAATGCAAGCTCCCCCTGCTAAGTTGTCAGCAGGTCTCATCTGTGAGCTGGAGGTCAGATTCAAGGTGGCAGCGGATGGGACATGCCCAGTCAGCCTTTAATTTAACTGATGTCAAGCAGTGTCAGCTTGGGAGGCAGAGCTGTATTTACACTGAAACCAGATATACTTGAGTATTTATAACTACAGTATCCCACACTGCAGCTAAAATTAAAAATAAAAACGAAATCTGGCTACCAGCAGTGTCACGCCACAGACATCACACTGGAACAGCAATTAACTCCAGGGCTGTGACTGTGCCTTCATCACAGGGGTGACTGTAAACTGCACCTTGAGAACACTCTTGGAAAATATCTAGCAGAATAACCATTCCAGTGGATCCATAATGAACTACCAAGATCACGTGGACAACCTCAAATAAAACACAAGGAATAAATATCACCAGTGTTGGTTAAAGAGAATTCTCTTCCACTTCTTTTCCTGTAATTGTGTATTTCTTATAAATCACTGCTGCAGACATAGCTTTCCTTATCTTTTTATCTAATTCATTTTTCTGTTGTTGTTTGTTATACAGCCAGGGATTTTTCACAGATGACTTGGAATTCTGAAGAAATTTATGGTACAGCTGTGTAAAGGAAACCATTCAATATAAAACTACACCCTACTGACTTTTTGCCAAAAAAGAATGTGTGAGAATGACTGTGGTTCTCAATGACAGTTTAATTTTTTTCCTCAGGTAGCTACTTATATGACCAGACATTTGTTGTCGTTCCAGAGAGACAAATTAAAAAAAAAGTAGAAAATGT